GTCGTCGCTCCCATGGCCCCAATCGCTCCTCATCGCCCCGTCCGTTATTTTAATTAGTATAAATTAAAAAAAACACTTATTCATTAACTCTGGTTGAGCACATGTGCTAACCTGTACAACCCTCTGACTCCCTCTTCATGCAAGATTCCTTTTAAAGCAAATGCTACACTTTTATAAGGAACAAGCCCCTCTCCCATCCCTTGTGTCTAAACAAAACCAGAATGGCACCTCTAAGTGAGAAAAGTATGCATGTATGGAGATTCAAGAAAATGAGAATCTACCATTAACCACAAATATTGTTTCATTTATGAGCCTACAGTTTAAAAACTTTCAATTTAGCAGACACGTATCTTTTCACAAAGATAGTTAAATAAAGCTGCTTCATAGGCTTGAAATTTCTATAGCCAAGTAAACATGTCAAAGCATGAATGAATTCAGTTTGTCTCACTAGAGTCTTGGTTGGAATGATTACCTCGTTTGGAGTTTCTTCCAATCATGCATCTTGGGCAGCCTCTCAGCTTCCTTCACTACGATCCAGTGGCCTTTTTCCCGGTTAAAATCTTGCTTGCAGCAGTATTCTTATCAACCTCAGACTTTTGTTTAGTGGGTTTTTCCAGAGTATAAAACGGAACCTCAATATCGCAATGATCGCAGGAGACTCCTAATGCTCAATGATCCTAGGAAGCATTATTAATATATTATTTTACATTAGAAGTATTTTGAATTAAAGATTTATCAAGGATATGAGAAAACTAACTAACTATAGGAGGTAGCATTGGCCACATATGAACTCACCCATGCCGAAATAATTCCAGAATCCACCATGGAATGTGTGATACCCTCCCTGCCTGAGTATAATTCAAAAGTTTGACATAAGAAAATGACTCAAGCATTACTCCACTTTTTCTTAGTTTTAATTATTGAGAAATGTCTTTAAGAATGGTAGGGACAACCAATAATAGATTTCCCTGTATTCTTCTTCCTCCACTAAGCATTGTAGAAAACTCAATGATACATAAGTCAAAGCAATACTAATTGACTATTAACCATTTTATATTTTTTATTCATAGATCTAAACAAACCAATAACAAAGTACTATGACAATATATCTTACTCCGTATATGACATCCATGGAGACAAAGGTATCTTTAGTACATTTGTGATACATAACCAAATACTCCCTCCGTCCCAATTTGTAAGATACATTTCGGTTTACGATGTTTGACTGACGATAAAGCAAATTGATCCCTGTCAACACCCAAATTAGTTCTAGAAAATAAAATTTGCATATTCAAAAACTACATTAAATCCGCTACAAAACCTGCAAAAAATAATTCAAACTTCATAAACTTTTGATATATAAAATAAAAGTTTAGGAGTGATTTATGTTGACCAAGTGAATAGTAAATGTATCTTACAATTTGGGACTGAGGGAGTAGTTCGTATAAAATTTTCATTACTATTTCCTTCCCAAAATAATGAGAGAGAGAGTTTGTTTTATAATGTCATAAGTAGTATTATAAACAAGATTGTTTAAGAGAGCTAGTAATGATGACAAAATAGACTTCAATGGTTTGATAACCAATTCAGTCTCTTTAGGGACTGCCTGAGCCAGTTTGATCAGTTCAGAATGAATCTCAATGAAATTGTTAGAGAGAGTTACCTCAATCGGAGTGGAAGTTGTCATACCCTCATCAGCCTGGACTGAATCTACTAGCACATCCGTCTGCATAGCTTCTGTCCCAACACCGAAGAGTTTAGTGCTCCCATTTGCTTTACTGGCAGAGTTCCCAGCGGTAACAGCATCAGTTTTGGCCAAGTTGCTCGATTTCACAAGTTCAGCATTCAGAGGAGGAAATTCCTCATTAATGGCTTCCAGAACAGAGAATCTGGAAGACGATCTGGTGGCCCTTGTCATAGACAAATGTCTCACCTGGACCCTGTTTTTTTCTCGCAATCCGAGGCCCCCTTCGTCGGAAATTCGGAATCTACACCTAGGCTTCAACGGAACAATAACAGGTTTCAGCAAAACACGGAATCTGCACCCACGCTTTGAATCAGAGAGCCTAGACCAGATTCATCGGTCGCATGAGCTGTAAATATCCATCTTTCACTTCGTTTCGTGGTTCAATAAGTCACTGAGATGCTCTTCAAATCACAAATCCAATGTCGGAAATGGAATGAGGAGCGATTTCCGGCTACACACGAGCTGCCGATCCCCTGAATCCATGGGGCCGTACACCAGTCGGACGCGTAAAAGTGTTGGTCGAAAATCGCAGGAGAGAAGCTCTCAGAGGAGTTAGGGTTGATAGAAGGAAAGTTGAGCTGATGTATGTGAAGACTGAAATGGGAGAGGGGAAAAGAAGCTAAGTGTATTACTCCGTATACTAAACTGTGCAGGCCGGCCCATTAGTATGAATAGTGACGCGCGTCTATAAATATACTCCGTAAAAAATGTACTCTGTATGAGTGTCATTAAAAATGTATGAGTGTCGTTGGGTGACACTTTTATGTCATTAGTGACATTTTTTCCGAAAGTGTCACTATAAAAGTGTCACTGTAAGGCATTTTTCTAGTAGTGGAAGAAAACTAGGAAAATGATGGGTTTCTAGTGTGGTTTTTCCCATACCGGAAAACCCAAGGGAATTTGAACCCTTTATGAAGGGAAACCCCCCTTAAGGAGTTAAGATTCCTTAGGGTAAAGGCTCTCTCTCGCGCGCAGGGGGGTGCGAATCAAATCCCGAAATCGGAGAACAGAAAGCGCGACTTGCGTGCACGGGCGACTTGCGGACACGAATGTCGTCCCAAAATTCTATCTTCTAAAGATAAACGTTAATTTTTGTTTCTCCGTTGAGTTCCTATTTTTTGCTCCAGGTTGGAGCAGTAGGCTCCGCAGTAGGCTGCTGCTTTATGCAGTGTTGTGAACGCCCGCAGCAAGCAGGCTACTGCCGGGACGTTACAACACATAAATGTCCAACATTCCTTTGCAATAAATGGACGTTTTTCTGGACGAATCAATGCCAATGAGATGGACATTGATCACCAATGTTCATATCCATTAAACCTCTATTAACACACAACAAATCTTCCCTATAAAAGGCTGGCAGGTGGTTTGCAACAAATACACAACACAATACTTTCCTCACGAATTTCTTTAGCTCGAAAAGCCTCCAGCTTCCCCTGAAAATTCCTCTGTGTTCTGCCTTTGTTCACGCTCGTCGGAACGTAACAATCGTTTAAGTGCTTAAACGGTTGCTCGTTAGTCATCGTATCCTGGGAAACGATTCTTGCAACGCTCCTAGCACCCCGGGAGGCAATGGATACGTTTTAAGGAAATTGTGCAAAGCACGAGCTTTGACTAAATTTTGTTCCATCTCATTTCTTGTTTTTCTTTAGTCATTTTATTTAATTAATTTTATTAATTAATTTTCTTTATTTTCCGAAACACACCCAACATAATTCTCTAGATGTGTGTGGAGAAGTATTGAATGTTCTAGAATATTTTGGAGCTTTCTAGAGAAAAAATCCGGAGCTTTCTAGAGAGACGTGAAATTATCTAGAAGCATGTGGAAGACTATAGAATATTCTAGAACATTGTGGAGTTTTCTAGAAAAATGTGGAATTCTCTAGAATCGTGCGGAAGTGTGTGGAAGCTTCTACACCATTCTCAAGCGATTTGGAGTTCTCTAGATCCTTCTGGAAGATTAGAGAAGCTTGTGGACAGTTCTTGGAAGAATATAGAAATGTAGTAGTGTATAGAAAGTTCTAGAGAAGCTTTGAGGATATTAGTATAAATAGGTGTGACACTCCTCATTCTTAAGGAGAGCCATGAGGAGGCATTGAGTGAGAGCCTCATATGAGTGAGCCTAGAGAGAGAGCTTCCTCAAGTGATGAGAGAGAGAGAGAGCCTTGAGGAGAGCTCTTGAGTGAGTGAGTACCTTCTTGAGAGAGAGGTGTGAGAGTGAAGTAGTCTCATATACAAAGAGTGAAGTGAGCTATCTGTTTACTTGTAAAATATCTCTTGTACATTTCAATTATATAATACAAAGTGAGATTGTTAGAGTGATCCTTTGTATTACGAGTGAGTGGCCGAGTGTACAAGAGTCCTTTGAGCTAGTGATCCTGGAAGAGATTAAGGTGTCGCGTTTTCCCCAACAGGTACTATACTAGTACGAAGTACATATTACTCTATTTTCAATACCCCAAGAGGGGTCTGGGGGGGCCTGGAGTAATCAGGGCTCAAACTCACTCCATTGAGTTTCAAACCCTTGTGTGCCTAGCGGGTTTCGAACTCGAGACCTCCTACTAGACACGGTAACCTCACAACCAGCTGGACTTGAATGCTTGATTGTGAAGTATATTTTACTCTTATATACGGAGTAGGCTAAAATATGTTTTTCATCCCTGTAAATATTGGGTGGTTTGTTTTTTGTCCTTGCAAAATAAAAAAATTGATATTCATCCCTGAAAATGTCAATGTTATCTTTTTTTAATCCCAGCCCCTAACCTCCGTTAACAAAAATGACGTGTCCGTTAAAAAAATGAAAATGTTGGCATATTGAAGAGTAATTATGTCATCTTTTTCGCATTTTCAGAAAAGAGATGACATTTTTATCAAAAGTGGAAGAAATTTCATCAATCGGAGGTGGTGGTGCTGGAAGGCGGCGGGAGTCGGTGGGAAAAGTGTACATAATTTTTTTAATTTTTTTATGGGTTTTACTATTTTTATTATTTTTTAGAAAAAATAAAAAATAAAAAATTTATTTATAAATATCATATTAATTTTATAATTTTTTTAAGATTTTTAAATGTTTTTTACGATTTTCTATGATTTTATTATGAATAAAAGCATCTCATTATGAATTAATATCCTTAGGGATATTTAGAGTAGAAAATCAATGTTTGATCTTATTTAGGGAATTTAAAAAATAGTAATTCTATTTGTGCTTTTTAGGAACTCATTAACCCTATTTAGGACAATTTCAAAAAATTAAAAATATTATCACGGCAAAAGGAAAGAAATTAGGGTACAGAAGAAACGAAAGATACGTTAAAGAAGAAAAGGGGTGTTGGGGAGAAATAATCATCTATGGTGTCACCATTTAATTTGCTGAGAGTGCATTTTGTAAAATCTTTTGAACGGAGAAGCAGAAGAGGATAATAACTCACAGGAGCATTGGAGAAGGAGTTTTATTTCAATTGTCTATTTGGCCAAATCAGCCCCACATTCTCTTCCATAGCCTACCTTCTTCATCTAGGTTTTTCCTGTAATTCTATCTCTGTTTTATTGTTTTTTATTATTAAAATTGCAGTGTTCATTCTTATATACTCCGTACTGTCGAAGTAATTGCTCAAATCCTAAACAATTTAGTTTTTATTCTCCAGATAATGATCTGAGCACTGTAAAACCAGAAGTGTTGATTCTTTATTATAACGGGAAAACATTGGCTGAATTTTGCTGAATTGTAGGACCTGGTTCCTAAATATTTGATATGCTGAATTTTTGTGTGGATGTTCCTAAACGAAAGATATGGTTCATGATCAGATTATATTATGGATTTTTATTTGTGAAGCTAGTAGCTCACGATTAGGTGCTTGCAGGCTGAATTTTTGGACCTGTGTAGGTTTCTTTCTATTCTATTATTTAGTTAGGTGGTTGCAGGCTAAAATTATGGAGATACTAGTAGATATATTGGCTGTTCTTTTTATATGCAATTTTTTTATATGCACTTTGTTTGATCATCTTTAGTTTTATACAGTTTCTTATATGATATGCAGATTGCCAATTGAATATGTTTTATATGTAGATTGTTAACTAACATATTTTCGGCTGAAATATATGTGCAGTTTGTTCTTTTCCAGTTATAGTTCATCTTCTTTGTACGGCAGATTTTTCGATCCAAAGAAACGTGGTGGTTGCCCTAAACGTAGCTGGTAGAGCATAGAAGGAAAACAGAAAACAGAGAACATAAGTGATGCCCGATTTCACGGATGATCTCATTGTAGAAATAGTCTCCAGATTACCCACCAAGCCTGTCATACGATTTAAATGTGTCTCCAAAAGATGGAATTCTTTTATCTCGGATCCTAAATTTGCCACCCTTCAATTGAAAGGAGCAGAGAGAGCCGGCACCAGGCTCCTCCGAACGACTACACCGCCTCAATCTCTAGACTACGAAGCATCATCGTCCTGTAAGAATAACAACAAAGGTGTGAATCGAAAGTTGAGTTATCCTGCTGCAATGGTGAAAGGTTCTGCATCCGATTTCAGAACAAGCTGGATCCTAGGTTCTTGTAATGGCCTGATCGGTATTCTAGGTTGTTCTTATGGTCGTTATGCCGGCGAATTCTTGTGGAATCCGACCACCGGAGATTATAAAGAATTGCCAGAGGCCCCACGCCTTAAAATTATGATTAATTTGCCGGTTCTCTACGGATTAGGTTATAATGTTAGCAGCAACGATTATGGAGTATTGCATGGTAACACGATGACCCAGAGTAAGGGGACAATGGAACCTATTCTTCACCTGTACACATTAAAGACAGGAAAGTGGAGACAAATTCAAGATGCTGATCCAGATTTAGTTTCCTCTCTTCGAGGAAGGTCAGTTTCTTGGAATGGAGATATGTTTTGGTTGGGTCGTAAACCAAATGGGGTCCCCTTTCTTGGTTCTTTTGATCTGAAAGAGGAGAAATTCAAAGAAATCCAGCTGCCATCACAGGGCCACAAAAAATCTAGTCTGATAAGTTTGGGAATATCTGCAGGGAACTCATTATGTGTATTTTATGAAGGGAAGGGGAGTTGTTTTGAGGCGTGGGCATTGAAGGTTGATAACCATGGAGCATCTTGTTGGAATATATTATTTAGATTCCCACATGATATAAAATTTTGGGGTCATCATGCCAGCAGACCTTTATGCTTAACAAAGGAAGGAGAGGTTGTTATGGATTCTGGTGTAATATACCTTTACAATCCCGAGGAGAGGAAATCTACATATTTTGAAGCACACAATAATAGTACTGGTACATTTTCTGTATTGTACATTGAGAGTTTAGTTTCACCAAATTGTTAAAAAGATACGGAGTAGTATAGATTTCTAATTACACAATATTAATTTATACATAGTACTCCGTATGGATTTGAGATTTTATAATCCATTACCAGTAGGTTCCTTGATAACATTTATTGTCTTTTAGACTTCAATGAAAGAAATATAAAATAAGTTTACCTGTGTTAAATACTCGAATGTATTGTTGAAGGTCGGTAAAATAGGAACTTCCCGCAGCTCACATTTCCTCATTTTGAAAGCTCAGAAACGTGTTGGAAATTTCAGATTCCATTTCCAGGCCGCTTGGTAATAAAAAAGAGTTGGAAAACCCCTGTCGCTAAATATTCAGCATTTCAGAATGAATTCGTGTGCTGGAATCGGCCATCTCTTGAAATCCAAATGATGTCTTAAATTGATTAAGAGCATATAATCATTTAATTGTTAGACTTCTTAACTGACTCAGTGACTCATAAACATGTAAAATGACTCATAACTGAATAGTAAACACGAAGATAATCCTCCTTAAACAAGATCATGAGTTCACACTACCTTTAGTATTTGATTTCCTTATTGTTTCTCCCTTCATTAATTGTATCTCTTTACATTTTGGTTAAAGTTTTTGGGTAAGGTTTGTGTCCCTTGTACTCGCACTTGCTATCTTCTTAATAAATAAGATAAAAGTGTTCTCCGCCCCCTCTCAACCCCTACCCAATCCCCCTATATGGCTATATGTATATATTTAATATATAGTGTATATTAATACCCCTATATATTTAATCTGCAATTATATTTATATGCATTTGCTAAATATATATATATATATACTAGTGTATATATATATATATATAGAGTAGAGATCAAATGCAAACCCATCTTAATATGCTAACCTACAAACCTAATCTTAGCCATCCATCTCATTTAATCTTTACGCGCGTTCAGTTTCAGATGCCGAAGGTTAACTTAATCAACTAAAGGTTCCTTATGTCTTTTTGGTTTTGTTTTAATTTTGAAAACAAAAACACGTTCTCTTTCCACGCAACTGCTTCATCATTATTATTTTCTTTTCTTCTTTCTTCAGTATTGAAGCTTTAGTTCATTCTCATCTCAGAATTTTGTTTCTTCATCGTACAAATCTACTTTCGGCATAATTTCTTCATCACCATTAACAGGGGAGGCCATGGATTCCGTTATTATACCCTAGTTTCGTGAATTCTTTTTTTTTTTAAATTTATCTCCATCTCTTACTCCTTCGTCCCCATGAATTTTGCACTTTAAAAAATCTTTGTTTTTTGTTTTTTATGAGATGAATCATATGTTAACGTTTTGATTTTCGCCTTCATGAAATTCATCAAATTCATATTTATACAAATAAAAAAATGTTTAAGTGCTACTAGCTTAATCTACCTGAAATAGGTATGGTGTTCTTACGTTGATCATGTATTATGCATTATGTAACATCATGAATTTAGTATGCATGTCAATTGATTATAGAATGCAGATGTCATAGTGATAAGATGCAGTAACTTCTAAAGTGAAAATGGGAGCTCATCTGACCAAATTCAATATATAACTTCTAAAATACATAAGTCATAATGATATTAAATTGCAACATATGAGCTCCTAAAATAATGCAAATGTCATAGCGTTAAGATGCAGTATGAACTTTTAAAGTGAACATAACTTTCTAATTGAGTGCAATACACAAACTTCTAAAATCCCCGTGTTATAATGATAAAATGCAAGATATGGACTACTATAATGATGCGTTGACATGTTTATCACTTTATAGTTCTAATAAAAGTTAGGGAAAAGGGGCAAATAAGCCCTCAAACTAATCAAAAAAGTGCAAATAAGCCCCTTTGTAGGAGATTTCGTCTGTCTATCGTCATTTGGGGAGGTTCCCGGGGGAATTTTTTGATGAAATTTTTTGAGCATCTTATTCATTAAGTCTAGTTTATCCATACAAAATTTCAGCTAAAAATTCAACCGGGAAGGCAGTCAAATGAATTTTTTAAGATAACTGCGCAGTTAAACAACACAGTGTAGTTCCGAAAATCATTTGAGTGCCTTCCCGGTTGAATTTTTAGCTGAAATTTGGTATGGCTAAACTAGACTTAATGAAGAAGATGCTCAAAAAAATTCATCAAAAAATTCCACCGAGAACCTCTTCAAATGACGATGATCGGACAGAACCTCCCACAAAAGGGCTTATATGCATTTTTTTTATTAGTTCGAGGGCTTATTTGTCCCTTTTCCCTAAAAGTTATGAAGATATTATAAATATATAATGCATATCTCGTAGCCATAATATGCACATCCATTAATCTTACTATGCACGTTCTGTAACTTTAATATGCAGACACTTTTACATTGTTCATCACTTCTTACAAATTTAATATGTTAAAAGTTAATATAAATTATGCATCTTACTAAAGTGCAATATACGAACTTCCAAAACGCACATGTCATAATAATAAAATGCAACACGTGAACTAAAAATGCAACTGTCATAACGATAAGATGCAATCAATAGCTCACCATCCTTAATATGCATATCACATAACCTTAATATGCACTTTAAGTAAAATATTATCATATGCACACGTTATACTTATACAATGCACATCTCACAACCTTAATATGCAGTTCGCACGTATGTTTACTTCTCATATGCACTTGTCATCTTACTAAAAATGCAATGATGAACTTATAAAACACAACATCGACATATTTTATCAATATGAGTTTCTAAAATAATTGATGCACACATTACGAATATATGATGCACATCTCGTAATTTTAATATAAAGTGTTGTATAATGCATATTCTCTAATCTTAATATGCACTGCTCACATATATTAAATTTCTACTTGTGTTAAAATATTAACTTTTTCATTCGATAATAGGAGCTAAGTTTCGAAAATAGAGGTTTATTAAGAACCGACTGATTCATAGAAATTATTAATTACAAAAAGGTAAATTACTTTTCAATTCATGATTAACTTCAATCATATCATATTATCATGGGGTTACCTTGTCTGCCACTTACATTATATAATTTGCATATATTTGGATTGTTAGTTGTTTAGTGGGAAGTATAGCACCGTTCAAATCAGTTAGTGGGATATCTTTTTTTTTTTCAATATAAAACGGTGTTATCCGTTTTTTTCTCATACGGCTGAGTGCAGCGCCTTTCGATAATCACCAGCCGTCCGCATGATTTAATCCAGCGGATGTTGTTGGTTTGTAGGTTAGCACGGGAAGCTTGGTTTGCATGGGATCTCACCCCTATATATATATATATATATATATATATATATATATATATATATATATATATATATATATATATATATATTACATAGTTTAATTACGTAAATGCTAAATAGTTTGACCCATGCGTGTGTATTCTCAGAGATCAAGGGTTGTGTTGATGGGTTCAATACCTACCTTCTGCGTTTTTACCAATCTAGCCTAATATTAGGAAAATTACTTGTGACTCACAAACACCCTCATTGGTAGACAAAAATTACAATTCAAAAACCAATTATTTAATCCGATAAGATTCATGTGCTTAAACAATGTAGAAGTTATTTAGCCAGATGTAAATAAAATGGGAAAGGTAGCCCTTCAGTACTACAACAAAAGATACAAGAATCCACCAAAACTATCAGAGCACAGCTATCAGATAGTGATCTGAATGGGTGTTTACTTTTAACCTGAGTACCTGACCAAAATTAAAGTTTGTATCTATCAGAATCAAACTCAGATTTGGATGTGGATCTGAAATTTTATAATCCATCAGCAGTAGGTTACTTATCATTGAAAACATCTGTCCTTTAGACCTATAATCTCCTGAAGTACATGAGAGCCAACCCTTCCTTTCATCGGCAGAGTCTCATTGTACAAAAGGCCATGCCTTTTGTAATACAGAAGAATCATTCACTCTTCAGTGTGCAGCAAAGTTATCCCACTTTCTCTAGAAAAAGCAAAAAAGTTACAAGTATACATTTATAAATACTTTCTATAATATATATGTGCACTTTTTTCGTATAAATTTTGCTGCACAACTAAACATGAATATAGTCAACATGTTCAAATATAGAAAATTCTCACATAATAAAATGACCAGCAAAGCACTTAGCCATAAAATATTACGGGGACTATGGTGATATGAAACATTCCATTCATAAACCCATCAAGAAAATCCCATAAAAGCATTAATTTTCCTCCAGAAATCCCAGGAACGAGATTGGAGACCCCATGTTTCTGAAATGCTAATTAATTGGGAAAAGGGCTTTTCAAACTTTTAATTTCAAGGCGTAAAGGTAACCCCGAATTTGATGTTCTAATTTTCCAAACAAGTTTCTAAAACAACGAAATTTAACAACTACAGAGCTTCCATGCTTTATTAGATGTCATGTATCCTACAAATTGCTCTGAGACTATCAATAGAAATGTTTAAGCAGCTGTTGATATTCCAAACCAATAGGCTACTTCAGTAGAAGTTATAACATAGGAACATGAAAACACTTTTGTTCAGGACGGGACAGCACTAGTAGGATGAAACCAGTTAACCAGATGTACATAATAAAGGAAAGGTAGCCCTTCAATACTACAACAAAAGATACAAGAATCTACCAAAACTATCAGAATCAGCGCACAGCCATCAGATAGTGATCTGAATGAGTGTTTACTTTTAACCTCACCAAAATTAAAGTTTGTCTCTATCAGAATCAAACTCAGATTATATGCATTGATCCTTCCAAGCAAGACTGCAAATTTTAGGGTGTTTACGTATGTGATTAGGGCATTTGTAAAGTAACTCCTTTGCTTCAGAGTGTCTACCTTCATCAAAGAAGGCCTTAAAAACATGCAAGTAATTTGAAACAGATGTTGCTTGGAATGCCTTCAGAAACTCCTCTGCATCCTCTATGGTCCCCAGTTTTGAGATATGTTGATAAAAAGGTTCTGCAAAAGGCTGGTAATTATGCCCCTTCATCTCCTTAAGCAGATGAAGCGCTTCTTCAAGGTTCCGCTCTCCCAATAGGTTTTGGATAAGGTTCTTATATGTTTCTGGATATGGTCTCAAGTTTCCCTTCCTCATCATCTCCTCCAAAAACTGATATGCACCAACTACCTTCCTCTGAGCTAGAAAACCATTTACTAATACATCTAATAGATTGGCA